AATATAACCTACTGACCCTTGGTTATTTGTCATAAATTGATTTTCCCTAGACCCAGACCCTAATTATGGTGACGTATTCGATGTCGAAGTGTGTAGACCCGCCATAAAAGATGTTGGCATCCCATAAGAGGGATTTTTGTGTCTGTTACCATCGAAACCGGGTGGTCTCGTTAGTGGGGTGGTGCAATGGGTTTGTGTCCCTGATGGTGGGACGAATCCCCCAGGGTAACCAGTGGTACCTGTATTTCCTAGGATCGAACTGTTAGTCGACATGCCACTTGTTCCATTCGTGGCTATACTACTGGTAGAAGATGCAACCGACTGTGCGTTCGATAGGGTTCGTATTAGACGTTCCCGTCGAAGCGGACATATTAGTGCCTGTTCCATGTGGGATATTTTATTCCCCTTGTTGATTGTCTGGATTAGACATCTTGTTTAATCGTTTTCTTCTGGGTAAGGGTTGGTTGCTATTGGTTATTCTACCACTTCTAAGGTTCATATAACAACAAACTTATCACTCAGAAAGCACTTTTACTTTGATTATGTCCCAACAATCTTTACTTTGTTCTAAATTTCGTAACGACCAATGATCGTCCCACCAGGTGTGCCAATTTGTTTACAGTGATTTCTGGTAAACAACCGCTAGTCCTCCAAACTATCAAATAATCTTAATGACTGTTATTTAATCTCTCTGGTAACTTGCAGGATCGACTAGATTGATCCTATGGGGTATTGGTCGTTTGGATAACTCTAATTGTAAAACTGATATTCATAGTTAGGATTTGTATTTGGAATGTTTTATAGACGTTCAACTCACTTCGATTACCATATTAAAAGGATCTAATGACATGATCAAGCAAAGACATGCAAAACTAAATTGCATGAATAAAGATTCGATTGCAAAGAAATATAAAAATGCAAGAAACAAGTAAATAACTTTGAAGTATAAAAGCATGAAATGTAAAAGAGTTTCTGAAATGTAAAGGATTCGAAATAGAAGAAAAACGTTTAAATGCAAGAAATCAGTAAATGACTTTGAATGAAAAGGTATTTGAATGACAAAAGCATGAAGATAAAAGCATGAAATGTAAAAGAGTTTCTGAAATGTAAAGGATTCGAAATAGAAGTAAAGCGTTTAAATGCAAGAAATCAGTAAATGACTTTGAATGAAAAGGTATTTAATGTAATCGACATGAAAATGGAAGGTAAACTGAAAAAGATAAAGAGTTTTACTGAATCATAAATGTTTGGTGTTATCATACGTACATTGTTCGAGCATTCGTTTCCCTAGCCATGTGGTATTTTGAATGTTTACTGAATTTTGTACAATAGATATGACACACGAAATCCTAACGCTAAGACTTCTATTTATACTACTTCGACCATAACGGTCTTGCCTATAAGATTCTGCCACGTCCAGAACATGCAGAGCACTGCTCCTCTCTAGCTTCCACGCATCTTCGAACGCTCCAGCGCATATATATTTGAATTCCAACATCCCGCTTGCGTTTGAATTCAAATGCTTTGGCACTCTTCGCTTCGAACTCATTTCTCAGACACAATCTTGTTACCATTTCGAGGCTTCTTCTAAATATATCTTCAACTGTCACTCGAAGCTCCGTGCCTAGACATGTTCGTTCGAAGAACTGCTTCTACCATTCTGAACCGTAACACCTTGCTCTATTCCAACAAAACATCCCATTTGTTTTATTTCGAACTGTGTCATCGAAATCTTCAGCCAACAGCAAAACAATACAATTATAAGATCATAGTCCCTCGATGACGCTATACAAAGGTTGCCTAAACAAAATGATCTTGGTCCCTCAAAAATGCTAAGATACTTGGCAACATTGCTATCATGGTTATACGATGACCCACGCCCGTCCCGTTTACATCCAAAGATAGGGTTTCTTACCAAATCAATGGCAAGTCAACAATGTCAAAGGAATAAAAATGCACAAGAGAGACGTTTGCATAGGTAGATAGCTTCTAGTTACTTGTTCCATTTCAAAACAATCCTTACTATTTAAAAAAAACAAACACACACTCATTTCAAAACATCTTACAAAACATTGAAAACATTTTCAAAAAGACAAACATCTTTGTATACATTCTTACAAACAAGAATCATTACAAAGATTGCCTAAATGATTGGCCTCTTTTACAAAATACTTTCAAAACCATACCAAACACCATTTCAAACAAAGCAAAGCAAGTGACCTAAGCAAGTAACTAAGAGCCCATGGAAAACCATGGATGAAAAGGGTGCTAGCACCTTCCCTTTTCATAATCTACCCCCCAAACCTAAGAAAACATCTCAAAGGTCTTTCCTGTGCTTTTTTACCTTTCCTTTTGGATAAAAGAAAAGTTTGTGGCGACTCTTGCTAACCGCAACATTTGCGAACACAAACGCAAAACCTCAAGTCAGTTCTCCCACCGCATCACAGTAGGAATATATTATTTCACCAAATGGGTAGAAGCTATTCCTTTGGCGAATGTAGACCAAGAAACAGTCATTGAATTTGTCCAAAAACAGATACTGTATAGGTTTGGAATCTCAGAAAGTATAACTACGGACCAAGGGTCAGTTTTTACTGGTCGAAAGATGCAAGATTTCGCGAAAGAAACGGGGTTCAAATTGTTAACGTCTACACCATATTATGCTCAAGCAAATGGTCAAGTCGAAGCATCCAACAAAGTCATAATAGGCTTAATCAAGAAGCATGTCGAAAAGAAGCCTAAAAACTGGCATAAAACGTTAGATCAAGCACTTTGGGCTTGTCGAACGTCACCTAAAGAAGCAACCAATACTACACCATTCTAACTTACCTTTGGGCATGGTGCAGTATTACCAGTGGAAATATTTTTGCAGTCAGTTTGCATTCAAAAACAGGAAGAAAAAGCTCCAAACATTTATTGGGAAATGATGTTGAATGAATTGATAGATTTAGACGAAGAAAGGTTGCACGCCTTAGAAGTGTTAATAAGGAAGAAGGAAAAAGTAGCTAGAGCCTACAACAAAAGTGTGAAAGGTAAAACTTTTGTTGCCAATGATTTAGTTTGGAAAGTTATTCTACCTATGGATAAAAAGAACCAAGCTTTAGGCAAGTGGTTTCCCCATTGGGAAGGTCCTTTTCGAATCTTAAAAGTATTTTCGAATAATGCGTATGAGGTGGAAGAACTAACAGAGGATCGAAGGATCCTAAGGGTAAATGGGAAATATTTAAAGAAGTACAAACCATTTCTTCAGGAAATTAAAATACGAAAAGATTCTCTTAGCTGGTCGAAATAACGTAAATCACAAGAAATGCCTATTTCTGCACATATTCGAAACAGACATTTATTGGGGGAAATTTGTTTGCTGGGAATTTCGACCAGGATAATAAAGGAATCATTCATTTAAATTTCCACAAGATGGATTGAAAAAGCTATAGACGAAGTATGTTGTTACTGGATCTGAGTCGAAGAAGACAGTTTGAAAGGACAAGTGTTTTTGTTTTGTCAAAAACGCGCGTTTCGACGGCCACGTGAGAAAGTTGTTGCTGAAGGCTTGAGCGGGAATGTTTGAAATTCGAAGTAGTTTCTTTGGATAAGAAAGACGCGTGGAAGCCTTAGAGTGTCGAAAGACATGCAAGAAGCGACGTGGCTTTTCATTAGAATAATACTGTTATGGTTAGAACATTATAAATAGTTTCTTAGTGTTAGAGAAAAGGATCATAATTCGTACAAAATTACTCATAAAATACTCAAGTACCAAGTTACAGGGAAAGAGTTCATTGAGAATGTACGTATGACATCACACATTTTATCTTTGAAATGCATTTATCAATATAATTTCTTTTGAACCATTCTTTTACGTACTCCTGCAATTGTTCTTAATTTCTTTATGTTTTGTCGAATTGCTTCATTTTCCTGCAAAGCTTTATGTATCAAGTTTCTTTTAAAAGGCTCTTTCCTTTACAATCAAGTCCTTTAATTCCAGTTTTAAGTCTTTTCATTGTCAAGTATTTACATTCAAACCTTTTTTGATTAAGACGTTTCGTCCAAACCTTTATATTTGAATTTAATTTCAGAAGTCTTTGTATTTTAAGCCTTTACACAAACACATGCACAAGCACTACGTCGTGTTTAACATAAACCGTCAAGTAAATGTTACAATTAATATTAAGACACATGTCCTAGGATCAATCTAGTCGATCCTGCGAGTAACCATACATATCAAATTTGTTTGGAAGACCAGCGGTTGTTTCGCCAGAAATCACTACGAACAGTGTCATAAGACGTATCTGAAGCCGCCATGACAGATCGTGCTTCAGAATCACCGGAGCCAAGAAGAGCAAGATAAATTACTTTATCTTGTCTGATCCATAAGGAATGATCAGGATTTGGTGATGTAGTTTCACCGGTAACAATAATAGTAGGAGGACACTTCTTTGTGCCTCTAACAAAACCTTCAAGGTCACGAGCAATGAGGAGTGCACTGCACTGTTTGTACCAGACAGGATAATTGGTTCCATTTAACTTAATTGGAATGTGAGAATTTGTGTTGAATTCCATAAGTTCTTTAAGGTTAGAGTTGTTGTTTGGTGCTGCCATGATAATGATCGGTAAAAAAAAAACTGTGAAGCAATGGCTATTCTGATACCATATAAAATATACATAATGTGTATATTTTTGTTGTATTATTCACATGAATGATGATTGGAATAAATAGGAGATACATGATAATGGAGATTAATTTATTGCCCATAATAGTATAACAGATCAGCTAAAACTAAGGCAACAAATCAATACACATAATAGCTAATTTAAATATATAATAATTATACAATATTTTCAAATTGTAACAACTACTGCTATAATTTAGGAGCTTCTAGAGAAAAGGATCAAATAACTGCTGCTAATATATTTCCGTTGCAAATTTAAATTGTGATACAACCAATTATAAAACCTTACTAGCAAGATATAGCATAAGAAAATTGAAAACAAAATTCATTAAATCAAAGCCTAAGTTCTAAGTCAAGCTTTTGGATATGTGATTCTTCCTTTGGTAAGTTCATTCGAAAGCTTCCATGCCATTCAAATCGAGCCGCCATAGCTCTTTCTCTGTTCGGTTTGTGCACAAGTGAGTGAGATTTGATTCCTAGTGACTTTGGTGTCAAAGAATTAGAATAACCAAGTTCCATTGATGAAGATGATGACATCATCCTATGAGATAATTGGTAACTAGCTGCTTCTCTTTCCCTTTTGTGTGCATTCTGGTGACCCCCTAAGGCTTGTGAACTGTAAAACTTTCTCATGCAGAATTTGCATGGGAATACCTTGTTATAAAGAGGCGTGTCTTGTTTGAATCCTAAACTCAACCATTCTCCTATATCATTGTCTTTGCGATGCCTAAGAAAGGTCATAGTAACGACTCAAAGATTAGAATGGTTTTGTGACACTTGTTTTGTGGTAGAGGGTATGGAAATATCAATAGAAATGTTTATTCTTAAATAGGGATTGGTTAAAAAAAAAGGATTACAATGATTGAGTGTGGGGGCAGAATAATATTATTTTGTAATTTTATTTCAGCGCTGCGACATGTAATGTGTTTCCACTAAGTTTTTCACATATACATTTGAGAGGAGAATTGGGACAACGCTATTGTTGTCATATGGTGGTGTTGGCAATTTATGGCTTTAGATTCTTATTTTTCTTGTGGCTAACATTTGTTATCATAACATTTGTTATAATAATAAAATAAAATTAGTTAATGAAATGTAATAAGTTAGTTAATGAAATTATGAAGTTGGTTAAAAAACATTAGATATTAAAAATAATTTAGTAGTAAATAAAATTGGTTAATAAAATATAAAAAATTGATTAATTAAATTAGTTAATAAACGTTTAGATATTAAAAATATTTTTTAGTAGTAAGACAAAGTTGCTTAATGAAATGTAAAATATTAGTTAATAAAATTATAAAATTGATTAATTTCATAATTTTATATTGTTACCCCTTAAAATAAAAATTAAAAAACTAAATAAAATTATTTTTAAAAATTAAAATAAAATTTATTATTATAATATTTCACCGTATTGGTATTATTATAATACCATACAGTGTAGTGTATATGTGGGTGTAAAACTATCATTTCTGTAATAAATAGGTTATTGATGTCGTGAACTCCTGAGGATAGACCCCTTAAGTGTACTATTATACTTTGTTTGAAATCTAGAAGGGGGTGGGAGAAAGGGTTTTGAAAAACAATTTTTTAAATGAAATATAAAGAACTTTTTAGTAATTTTTAGAAATTCTTTTAATATAGAATAATAAAATAGTATTTATCATTAACGTGTTTTAAATTTTTGAAATACTATAATAATAAAAATTATATTCGAACAATTTGTCTAAATTCTCTAAAATTCTTAAGAGTCCTCTAATATAATTTTTTTATCTTTTCCAAATTATGAGGATTTTAGATTTTGAATAAAAATATATCTGTCAAAGCCCCCTCCACCTAAATCTTTCTATTTTTTTCACTCAATCCTTCTATTTTTTAAAGCTCTTATTTCCCTTCTCCTTCAAACTCCCAAATAAAGTCTTAGGTTTTGTTTAAGAGTTTGGAAGGGAAGGGAAGTGAGAGCTTCAAAAAATAATTTTTTTTAAAATATATAAAAAAAAAATTTAATATTTTTTTGAAAAAAGATTTTATATACAATGACAAAATATTGCTTATCATTAACATAATTTTAATTTTTGAAATACTATAACGATAAAAATTATATTTGATCAATTTGTTTAAGTTCTCCAAAATTCTCCTCTAACACAAAATTAATGTTCTCCCAAATAAGGAGTTTTTTAGTGTTATGAATAAAAATAAATTCTCTAAAATCCTCCCAATTAAAATCTTTCTATTCTTTTTACTCAATTCTTTCATTTTTTTCAAATCCATCCCCTTTCTTCTTCTCTAAACTCCCAAACAAAGTCTTAGCGTTTGTTAGATTGTCTTTTATACTTGAAGTATCTATATAAGAAACATGTTCATCTTCCTAAATAAAACTAAAACTTGTACGATTCTATTTTTCTCCAAATGTGATGTGTTTAAGAGGAAATGTGAGGCGTTTGACCAAAACTTTTCTAGATAATTTTAAATTTGTCTCAAACACGAGACATTTGAATGTGGATGCAAGGTATTTTGTATCAAAATATGTGTTATATTTAAGGTTTTTCCTACCATTTTTTAAAGAGAAATTATTGTAGAGAGACATGGAGAGAACGTCTTATGGTTTATGGTTCAAAGAGTCGGATATTCTTTTGAAATCATCTAAGGATTGAGAAACACTTCTAAAAATCATGAGATTGTGTGATTTTTGTATTGAGAGGATGAGATTTTGAGTTACAAATTTGGAAGAAAATAGAAAATGTTCTTCAAAATTTGGAGATATGTTTTTTTATTTAAATTTATTTATAATATCTTGTTTCAGACTCTTAATTTATAGTGAATAAAGTATATGCTCTCTCCTTCAGAGTAAATAATTTTAAATCGAATTGGCTAAATAATTTTTGGTATGGTGATTATTATCTTTAATCTTGTTATTGATAATGTGGTTTTGATTTAGCATTAGTCACAATATTAATTTTGCTTGGAAGATGTCTAATGTGATTTCTTCTGTTCTTTGTCTTGTGTATCATATTTTTTGTTGTGTTTTATATTCAATATTTTACAATAAACGAACATCGTGGATTAATTTTACAAGAGAACATCATAGATTCTAAATGGGCTATGGAGAAGTTTTACGGAGATAACGATTTGTTAAATTGTAATTCAGTGTGTCGAAACTATGTGTCGAAAAGATTTGATTTGTTTAGATTTAAATAGATTTGATTTAAGTTTAGAATAAATTAGATTTGATTTAGTAACAAAAAGATATTTTGGGCTTTGGGCTTAGGGTGTAAGCTCGGTTATAAATAGAGGGAGTAACCCCTATTTTTTGTAAGCAAGTCAAGCAAGTCATTCACAGTATTTTGCAGTTGCAAAGTGAATAACAAAGTTTTCACAGTTTGTGAGCAAAGAGAAACTCTGCAGAAATTATTTGTCTTGTCTTTTTTTCTTTGTTTGTCTCATAATTAAATTGTCATTGTGGTAGAAATTCATTATAGAATTTGGTGGATTTCCAACATCTGGTATCAAGAGCTTTGTTTCGATTTGAGGGAAGTATCAATCAAGAACGATTGAAGAATTCACGATGACAAGTTATGGGAATGCAAACTATCCAGCAATGCTACCAATTTTGAAAGTTGACAACTATGAGAATTGGTGCAAACAGATGAAAGTCTTATTTAGAAGAAGAAAAGAAGAAATACACAGAATCTGAGAAGCTGAGTTATAAAGCATTATTTATAATTCATCAATGTGTCAGTCCAGACAATTTCGAAAAGGTTAGTGATTTAGAATCTGCAAAAGAAGCTTGGGAAATCCTTGAGAAGTCTTTTGGAGGCACTGAGAAAGTGAAAGAAGTGAGGTTACAAACTTACAAAAGGACCTATGAACTGCTTCAGATGGAAGACAGTGAAAGCATATATGATTTCTTCACTAGAGTTACAAAACTAGTAAATCAAATCAAGACATGTGGAGAAACGTTAACAACAAGAGCTGTTGTTTCGAAGATCTTGAGATCTTTAGCTCCTAAGTTCGACCACATAGTGGTGGCGATAGAATAGGGGAAAGAATTGTCGAAATTGACAAAGGAAGAGCTTCAAGGGACGCTTGAATCTCATGAACAAAGAATGAACGAAAGAGTTGCATGCAAATCGAAAAGTGATGTGGCCCTGCAGGCACAGTCAGCAAAAGAGGCCAAAGGCAAAGGAAAGTGTTTCGAAAGAGGTAGAGGTGGCTACAACAAATCGAATGGTAGAGGAAACCAGATCGAAAGAAACGTGTCGAATCAAAGAAAACCATACCAAGGCAACTAAAGAGGTGGTGTTACAAATAGAGAAAGAGGTGGTGGCCAAAAACCTGATAAGAGTCATATTAAATGTTATAATTGTCAGAAGTATGGTCACTATTAGAGTGATTATCCAGAAAAACAAAAGAATTAAGAAAGTGATGCAAAGCTTGCAAAACATGAAGAAGAAGAAGAGATGATGTTGATGGTCACAACAAAAGATGAATATAGATTCAAGGACCAATGGTACTTGGTTTCAGGATGTTCGTCACATATGTCTGGAAGGAAAGACTGGTTTGTCAATATAAATCCCTCAATGAAAAATATGGTAAAATTTGCAAATGACAATACCCTAGCAACTGAAGGTATTTGTGATGTTATGATTAATGAGGAAAGATAGAAAGAGGTCAGTAATTTCAAATGTGTTGTACATACCAGGCATGAAGATCAATTTGCTCAGTATAGGGCAGTTGGTCGAAAAGAATTATAAAGTGTCAATCGAAGATAAGATGATGAGAGTCGTTGATACAAATGGGAGATTAATCTTGAAGGCTCATATGTCTCAGAATCGAACCTTCAAGATTGAACAAAATGTGATGGAGCACAAGTGCCTTTCGACTGCAGTTAGCAGAGATGAATGGATATGGCATTATAGACTAGGCCATATCAACTTCAGAGACATCAGAGATTTGAAGAGAAAAAATATGGTTAAAGGATTGCCAGAAATTGACATTCCAAACGAAGTATGTGAGGAATGTGTGCAGGCGAAGCAACACAAGAATAGCTTCAGTAAGGATGCAGGAAGCAGATCGAAGGCTATTCTTGAAGTCATATACTCTGATGTATGTGGACCAATCCAGGTGGATTCGATGGGAGGTAAAAAATACTTTGTTACATTCATAGATGATTTCAGTCGAAAGATATGGACTTATCTGATCAAGAAGAAAAGTGAAGTGATCGAAGTATTTTCCAAGTTTAAGTCTATGGTCGAAAGACAAATCGATCGGAAGCTCAAAGTAATGAGAACTGATGGTGGTGGAGAATATGTTTCCAAAGACTTCGACAGACTATGTGAAAAGGAAGGGATTGTGCATGAGGTGGTGCCACCCTATACTCCACAACAAAATGGAATTGCAAAAAGGAAGAATCGAATCATCATGAATACGGTGAGAAGTCTGTTGAAAGGCTAGAATTTACCTAAAGAGTTTTGGGGTGAAGTTGTTTCGAATGCAACATACATTTTAAACAGATCTCCTACAAAGAAGCTAGAAGGAATTACTCCAGAAGAATGTTGGTCTGGTGTGAAGCCTAGCTTGAGTCATCTAAAGGTATTTGGATCTATTGCACATAGACATGTGCCAGATCAGTTGAGAAGAAAACTTGATGACAAGTCAAGTCAAATGATTCTAGTTGGATATCATTTGACATGAGGCTATAAGTTGTTCGAGCCAGTGAAAAAGAAGATTGTGATCAGCAG